TGGCATGTTTTCTGTATTGACCTCTAGCAAGGTATGAAGTTCAGAGAGAAACCACATCCAGTTATCATCATTCTCCTCATCAACAACACCAAATGCCAGAGGAAATAGACCGCCATCCCCATCAAAACCAGTAGCTAAAAGCAAAGTACCAAGGTATTTACTTTTCAAGAAGGTCCGGTCAAGCCCAAGAAGAGGGCGACAAGCATTTAGAAAACCAAAAATAGAAGCTTGAAATGATATAAAAAGCCGCTGAAAGCAATTATCAGCAGGGCTTGCATAAACTGATGCTATACTCCCTGGATTGGTCCTTTTAACTTGTTCACAGTACTGAGGAAGAAGGCGATAACCTTCTTCAAAGGAACCACGCATAGCAGCCATAATTCGTTCCTTTCCACGCCAAGCTTGCTTGTACGAAAGGGTGATTCCATGAACCCGGTGAATTTCTTCAAGGATCTCTTTTGGCTTACAGTTTGGGTTTTCCCTAAGCCGTTGCTCCACAGAGTTGGCCACCCACTGAACTGAAGCTTGCTGATGGCCTAGATGCGCAATTCCTCCACATGTATGGCTGTCATGAATTGTTCTTATAGTGAACGTGGGTACACCAGGAAGTTTTGCAGCATGAATGCGCCAAGGGCACTCCTCACTGGCACATTTAGCAGTAAAACGAGTTTTATCAGATTTTATGGTCTGAATCTCGAAGTGAAGAGCAATGGCTGTGTCACGTAAGGCCCTTCGGCAGCTTTTGACATCAGGGAATTCTTGTCCCACATGTAACTCAAAATCAGGTGTTGTTGACATAGTTCGAGCCTGAAGTACATGAGATGACGAAGCAAGAACCATCTGGCCATCATGGAGTTCATATTCATGTGCAGGTTCAACACCCATATCATGACTCTCAACAACAGCTAATTCCAGGTTATCATCAAGTTCTTGGTTTTCCTCGATCCCTAACTCATCGTGTTCAGAGATATCTAACTCATTGTTTTCATTAGGCAACTCCTGGTTTTCATGCTCGGGCTTCTGCTCCATAGGTAAACCATTCTCGTGTTCATACTCATGCTCATGATTCCCCTCATGATCTTGGCTCTGCCCTATACCCATCTCATGCTCGTGGTTATGGTTCTGCGCTAGTTCCAGTTCATGGTTATGGTTCTGCGCTAGTTCCAGTTCATGATTATGGTTCTGCGCTAGTTCCAGTTCATGATTATGGTTCTGCGCTAGTTCCAGTTCGTGGTTATGGTTCTGGCTTATGTCCATCGGATGAGTGTGGTCAAACACTATTTCCTGGTTCTCGCCATCAACAGCTAAGTCGTTATTTTGGCCAAGGATCAACTCATGGTTCGCCATTCGTCTTTGCAGAAGTAGCTCTTTCAATCAATAGACTGTTCTATCACACTGAGAAATATGTAGACACCAAACTTTGCCACTGTACGAACGAAAGATCAAAACTCTTCTCACACTTGATGAAGTACCAACCCTGAGGACAACGAATCAGCTAACGACTAACAAATACCCAAACCTACTTTTTTGCTTCAAGTGACTTCACTAAGACCTGCTTCAAAAAAGCACAGACAATTCATGATTTGGAATATTAAACGAGAGAGAAGTAAACACAATAACCTAAACCCATTATCAGTATTCAAAACCAGAACAAGCAAAAAAAAAAGAACGGGGCAATTCATAGCCAAAACATTAATTGAGACTACTCCCAACACTATATTACTCCAACGCACTGATCAAACACTATGAAATAGTAGTTAAAAGAACGAATTAAACCAACAAATCTCAATAAAATAAACTATACGAATCCCTAAAACAAACAAAATAGTGAAGGATCGTCCCATCAATCTACTTATCAAAAGGGTAGAAACCACAAACCAAATCAGTAACACGAACCCAATAAAAACACCAAAAACTCACCATAAATTAAGAGAGGCACCCGAAGTCAAAACACGAAACTCCTTTCAAATCACGATCGATACTTGTCGAACAGCCCTAAAACTCCAAGATTTCACCTTTTCCAGTCAAAACACCAGGAAACACAAAACCCATCTCATAATTCACCGGAAATTGATCAAAAACAAACGAAAAGGTGGAGTTTAACGGGTTCCAAGCAAAAGGGTCAGGAAAATTTTGAATATGGCGGGTAAAAGAGGGGTGTTGGGTGATGAAGAGAGAGAGAGAGAGAGAGAAGGAGAGAAATGGGAAAATCGGAAAAGAGTAGAAGGGCAAGGAAGGGAAGGAAGGAGGCTGAAGAAATTGAGGGGCAAAAGGGAATTGGGGGTTTGCGATTGTGAGGAATTACAGAAATAAGGGCTAACGCTGAGAACGATGGGTATTTAGGTCATAATGGGACACCCCTTTACTCCTTTTATATTTCGTACTTACCATATTACCCTCTTTTTCTTTATTTATATTTTCTCTATTTTCTTCATTTTGTCCCTACACCCTTTAAAAAGAGACATTATTCATTGATATTTGAACATTTTTTATTTTATTGTTATACTCTCCCCCCGCCCCTTTTTATGTTATTTGAGATATTACTATTTAGAATTTTAGAATATTTATAAAACTCTAGGTTATGATCTAAGTTTCTCATGAAATTTTTTGTTTGTTCGAAAAAGGAATTAGATTAAAATCTAAAAGATACATAAGTTGCAAGAGAAATACATTTTAATACAATATTTCCATATTTATATTAATACATTTTAGGAACTTTGAGATACATATTTGACAACTTTCTTTTCATATCTACAATGATTGTCGTCATTCACTATTTCAATCATTATTATTAGTCATCACTTATAATCATTACTAACAACAATTGCCACAACTAGGGGTGGGCATAAATACCGAAAAATCGAACCGAACCGAAAAAATTCGGTTCTTCGGTGTCAGTTCCTCGGTGTTTCGGTTCGGTGTCGGTTTTTTTTTTTCGGTGTAAGGGTCCCGAAACTACGGTGCACCGAAGAACCGAAGTTTTATTAAATAAATTTAAAAGTATTTATTATATTACTTAATTTTTAACTTTACTTGACCCATTTCAATTTTTATATTTAGATCCTAAACTTAAATAGCAAAAATCTTAACAACAAAATAGTAAATCATAAAGACCTAAAGTCTAAACTAAACAAAACTCAATTTAATTCAAGTTTGAGCAGCAACTTGGTGTTTCTACTTTCTACTTTATGATTTTATCATTTTATGTAGTTACTTTGAAGTGAGAACAACAAATTGATGTTCTTACCTTTTATTGTTAGACGGTTTGTTGTTACTTTGAAGTTTGAAGTGAATAACAATTGTTACTTTATCATATTTTCTCTTTATTTTTGTTGACACCGAAAAACCGATTTAAAAACACCGAACTAAACCGAACCGAAGTAGAAAAAACCGAACTGAACCGATCTAGTTTGGTTTGAAATATGGTGCACACTTTTCTAAAACTGAATATCGAAGAACCGAACCGAAATTTGATTAAACCGAACCGAACGCCCACCCCTAGCCACAACTATCAATAATCACTACCGTTAGCTATTACTATCGTACACCATAGTCATCACCTAGCTAGCATCACCAACTACCATATCAATATCATTGTTAACCACTGCTATCGCCTATCATCAACACTAATATTTTTTTAATTCATTATAAACAAAGATTTTTTTTATATATACAATTAAACAAATAAGTTTGATTGTTCAATATTCAGTTCATAATACAATATTTCATATTAGATTCTACATGTTATGAATAATAATAATACGACAATTTGGCAACCAAAACCAATAATTCTCCCTCTTTTTTCTTTCTTTTTTCCCTTTTTCAATAAAACAAAAGATTGAAAAAAGAATTGAAGAATCTTTTTGATTTCATATGTTGTAAAGACATTACTTTTTTTTGGTGTATGACATACTTGTAATAGTTAGATTGGATATGGGCCACCTTTCGGTAGCCGCCCAATTGTAATTCTTGCAATTGGAAAGCCAACTTTCTATGACTATCACTGTCGGTTTCTTCTCTAAATTGTAAATTACAATCTACACCTCTATTCTATTTATAATATACGGAAAAATTACGCAAAATGATAAATATTTATAGTGTATTATTTGATTTAGCTAGAGTTTTAGATATTTATGATTTACGGCTATAATTTTTTTAATTTTGTTGTGAATTTGTATAGTTTAGTTCCTAATTGTATAAACTTGTATATGATTTGTTGATACGTTTAATTTGTATAAGATATGAAAAATACATAATAAATTACCTTGTTTGTATATAGGCGAACGAATATACAAATGGAATTATGAAAAATTCCTAAATGTAAAAATATAGAATTTGTATATATTTACATTGTTTGTATATTGGTAAGTGGAATATACAAATAGAAATCATGTTTGTTTATTGACAAGTGAAATATACAACAGAAATACATATATCAAATAAAACTATAACTATGAAGCATAATTAGGCAAATTGTAGCCAAGGAAGGTTATTAAGTTTAATCTATTTGCTATTTATGAAATTTTCTAATTATATATTGCACTTTTAGATCGATATGGTGCAGTGAATATGACTCTTTCTTTCTTAATTAAAAATTTAAGTTTCGAGTTTTAGTTATGAAAAATTTATTGATAGAGAGCATTTCTCTTGAATACTAGGCCTTATACAATGCACATTTAAATTAATCAAAGTCTTAATATAAAATATAAAACACTAAATGAAAACCCCACCAATAAAATAATTAACTAGATACATTCTCCGTTCATGTTTGACTTGACTAATCAAATGATAGGCAAGAAAAGAGAGTAAACTAGCCAAATACAACTAAAAGATGGTACTAAAATAGAAGTACTGAATACTTGTGGGATGTCTTTGTAATTTATTTTACAGTTGAAAAGAACGTGCATTTCTGACAGAAACGTTCAAACTCAATATTTTTAAAAAAGTATATTAACTATAGTAGAATTAAAGTAGGTGCATTAACATAACCATTACATGTACCCCATTTATATATTTTGTGTCTCTGATCTCTCCATATTTTTTTTTGAGACTTTTTGGAATTTTCTTTCAGAGTAAAAAGGACTTTCCTATAAGGTATTTTTCTGTTTCTTATGTTGGTGAATTATGATCTGTTGCTTTCCTTTTTTTTTGGTTTCTTGAAGTTGCTGCTATATATGTGCATATGATCTTTTTTTCTTGTTTCTTGGGTTGTTTATTAAGTTCTTGGAAAAAAGATTGGTTTTTTATGTGTTCTATAGGATTTTCTTGGACTGTTTGTTGAGTTTCTTTATATGTCTGGGGGAATATTCTGTTTATGTTTTTGGGGTTTTGGATCTTGTTTGAGAACTGGAGTTTTGACTTGGGCTGATTTGATCAATTGAGTTGCTTTTTAGCAGAGATATTGGACTTTAAAGTATGTGATTTGATTGCTTTGCTTGTTAAAATAAACCCCAGTAGATGTTTTTTTTAGTTTAGTTCTTCCCTGATATTTAGTTAAAATAACCAATATTGTTTGGTTTGAACTTGACACGGAATTTTGAGAAAGTAAAAAAGCTTTGAATCTTGTGATCCTTTAATCTTGTGGTTTTAAGCATGATATGTGAAAAATTGAAATTAAAGAGTTGCCATACAAGGAAAGTAACATTCATTTTTAGACGGACTAAAAGGGAAAGTAAGACAAATAATAGGAGTAGTATGATATGTAAAAGCAGAAGCTTTGAGTTTATGCTGCAGGCATATGAATATTAATAGTGTTTGCGGTTCAACAAAATTTGGGTGACATGAAAATTGTTATAATGTTCTGTAATTGAATTCTTGATTATAAAAAGATGACAACTTTTTTTGTGTGTGTAAGTTGAATTGAATCACATGCATATAAAGTCTGTTTGTGTTTTCTTGACATATCTTTTTATTATTTCATTGCAGGGTGCATCACAGATTTCGTTGTGCGTAAGTTTCAAAATTTTCCTGTTAGTTGTGTTCAATAATCATTCTACCATTTCACAAATATGGATGTAATGGGGGACTATAGTAAAGGAAAAATTAAAGGTCCTATTAGTATAACATCAGCTTTAACTTCAGCATTTCTTGAATGGTTGCTCATGATTTTTCTGTTTATTGACGGTGGTTTCGCCTACTTAGTCACGAAGTTTGCCCAGTATTGCCGATTGCAAGTTCCATGTTTGCTTTGCTCAAGACTGGATCATGTTCTTGGCAAGGAAAGAGCTGGATTTTACTGGGAATTAATCTGCCCCAATCATAAGTATAGGATATCTTCATTAGTTCTTTGTCATAATCACAATAACCTTGTTGATGTTCATGGGATGTGTGAGAGTTGCCTTTTCTCGTTTGCCACAGTAAATAAGTCGAATGCTGAAACCTACCGATTGCTGGTTGGAAAACTGGGGGCAGAGCCTCACCTAACTGATGAGGATCCTTTACTCGAGGAGAAAACAAAGAGTTCGTCAGGAGTAAGAAAATGTTATTGCTGTAAAGAGGAATTTGTTACCGGAGGATATGCTCAAAAATTGTTCAAGATTACATCTTTGTGTGCTGACACAGTTGAACTCGATGCACCTTTGTCTGTGACTAATGGACAAGAGAGGGGTGACAGCAAGGAGATTGAAAATGAGGCATCGACATCAGTCTTTGTTCCTTCACCTCGTTTGGAGTACAAAAAGGTAAAGGTTATCTCTGATTCTGAATCAGAAGCTGCACACTCGGATAGTGATAGTGCTAGTCCTCTAATCCGTGCAAGGGACTATTCCTTAGACTATTTATCTGATAGATGCTTGCATCCAGAACCTCAAATTTTTACCGTCACTGATGACTTTGCTACCGAGAAATTAATACATTCGGCTTCAGTGCCTGAACCATCACTTCTGGATCCAGAAATAGACTTAATGACTAGAGATTTTTCGGCTATTGCAACCTCGGCTGCAGTTGTTGGGCTTGGATCAGAGGAAGTTAGCTGGCCGCAACCTGAACTGAAGGCTGATGCATCTGTCCCATCTGATCTCATAAGTTTTGATGAAGTCAACCTGTTGTCCAATGTCAAGGAAAATCTTGTTGATCTAGCAAGAGAGACCTGTAAGTTCTGTTTCCTTATTGTTCCATTTCTCTTTTTTGTTAACCATTTAAGTGAGTGCTCCATATCTCTTTGTTTCCCCCAGATCAAAATGCCTTACAAGTGAATGTTTTTTTGAATTTTTGCTGTCCTTAACTGCCACATGTTCTACTTTCAACTTCCAAATAGGAAGAAGATAGAGAAAAAGTAATTACAAATGGATTTACATTTTTCGGTTTTTGATCTTCAAACTACTACTTTCTGTTAATTGTTTTCTGACTCGGAAGCTATAACAGCAGCTCAATCAATTCAATTTCTTCCAATGTGTTGATTTTCATGTAACACTAAAAGAGCTGTTGAATAGCTTTAAGTACATTTGAAGATGGTCTATCAAGTGTATCTTTCACCTTTTATAATAATTTACCTCACTGTCTTCCATATTTATTGATATTGCTATGCTTTCTACAGCAGCAGGTGAGACGGTCTACCAAGTTGTCGAAGATTGTGGGGAAGTCTCCAGGTCAAAAAGTGATGAGATCCCAAAGAGCGAAACAGAATTGGATTCTAAACCAGAGCCAAATGAGAGTAGTTCACAGACAGATGATGCTTTTGATCTAGGTGATGCTTATAAGCTGGCCGTTGGAAACAAAGGGAGGCAATTATCCGGAAAGTTTTTGGAGCAGAGGTCATTCAAGGATTCTACACGAATGAGTGAAGATCTAAAGGTCCTACTTACACAACTGTCTGCTGCTCGTGGTACTGATTCTATATTGAGTGAGATGAGCCCGAGGGTGTCTGTAAATGGTGAGGAATTTAGAACTCTTGAAGCATCTAGCTCTATTGGAATGCAGATACTTCATCAAAGGATCTCGCTCGAGAGAAATGAATCTGGTTTATCTCTGGAGGGAAGCACAGTGAGTGAAATTGAAGGTGAGAGTGTGTCTGATCGTTTGAAACGACAGGTGGAGTATGATAGAAAATTAATGGCTGCTCTCTATAGAGAGTTGGAGGAAGAGAGAAATGCATCCTCAGTTGCTGCAAATCAGGCGATGGCAATGATTACAAGATTGCAAGAGGAGAAGGCAGCACTACACATGGAAGCTTTGCAGTGCCTAAGAATGATGGAAGAACAAGCTGAATATGACAACGAAGCACTGCAGAATTCAAATGATCTTCTTGCGCAGAAGGAGAAAGAGATCCAAGATTTTGAAACTAAACTTGAACTTTACAAGAAGAAACTTGGGAATATGGCTCTCTTTGAGGATGCACTCGAGGCAAGTTATGATTCAAATAAAGCTAAGCAAGCTGATACAATGTGCAGTGATGACAGTTTGACTGTTCCTGGCGACGTAATTGCTCATAATCCCACCACCAGCAGTAGAAGTGGTGAGGTCTTGACACCATTGGGAGTGGATAACATAGATAACGGGAGCCCCTTGCTTGATTTGGAAAGTGAAAGGGAGCAACTTGTGCTTTGTTTGAACAAATTGGAAGAAAGGCTCCTTTTGCTCTCTAAGCATGAGGCTAGTCAAGACTTAGCTAATGTTAACTGCGAGTTTTCAACAGAAGAATGGGTTGAAGTAGGTAATCCAAAAGAATTGGACCATAGGGAGTCTTCTAGAAGTAATGGTGAAATAGAGGAAAATGTTCCCCTAGAGTCAATCACAGACAGAAGCCCTTCTGGTGAAGAAGGATCTATTAGCAAGTTTCCAGAATCACTACAGAAAGGAAGGGATGGGAGCAAATCTGGGCAGTGCACTAATGGAGATTCTGAGTTAGAGAGTCTGAAAAATGAGTTATCAGTTTTGAGCAGCAGACTGGAAGCACTTGGTATAGAACATAGCTTTCTTGATCATTCCATCAACTCATTGAGGAATGGAGACGAGGGACATCGATTGATTGAAGAGATAGCTGGTCACTTGCGACAGTTGCATTTTGTTTTGGATAGATCAAGTGGTGAACTTGCGCATTAATAAAGGTGATCATCTTATGAATCAAGCTATGTTCATAACCTTGAACTTTGCTGTTTTCAGCTTTTGAAAATCAATGGATTTTAGGTCCACCCATTTTACCATTCTCCACTTGACTGTCATACTTGTTTCGCTTTCAAACACTTTGATTCAGTACTTCTTCAACCTGCTCTCTGTTGATATGAGTCGTGCCTCCCGAGCTATTGCCTCTTGTTTTCACATTCTTTGTTACCTATGTTTCATATAAGAACAACTAAATTCTGTCGATGATGCAGCAACAAAATATTTTGTTCTGTTTCATCGTAGGAACTTTGTGATTAGAAACTGGTGTTTTCATTTTCTGTTGGCCTTAATTCACATTCAAGATCCATGACATGTATATTTCACTTGTTATCTTATACTGTATCTTGGTCATTTTCTGCTGGTAGTACTAGCATGAATTATTGGAGATATAGCTATTCATCAGTTTTCTATGAACCTCTTATCTTCAACCAGTGATTTTGCATGTCGATATTGATAAAGTCTCTGACTTGGGAAATGCAATCAGAAATAGAAGTTTGAAACGAAACTATCATCTGTTTGGACTCGTTCACTCCCAAATCCACTTTGTATATCAGTTGAATTTCCTGTTAGTTTTGTTCACCATTTCCGCGTTTATGCTTTTATTTTTGTTAAATTTCTCCTGCTTTAGGTGATGTAAAAGATTTTTATTTGACGAATTTCATTTTGATCTCCTTGCAGATTAAATTAAAGATGATTCTTTCTCCTAGAGCATGAATTGTACAGTTTTTGGGTGAACTCAAGCATGGTTTCTCCCATTAGTAGAAGTCTACAAACAACATTTTAGCTTTGTGTGATATGGTTTTTTTCAGTGATTTTTTTTGCTTTATTCGTCCTTTTTGATTCATTATTACATTTGTTTCGAGTAAAGATTGTTTGTAAAGTTGAAACTCAATATCCCTATAATTTGATGTAAAGTTTTGCTAGAGTGGCTTGAATCATGATATTAATTTGGTGGATTAATGAATTTGTTGTGGCTTTGGTTATTTTTTATTTATAGCATGTTTGATCAAGCTTTTGAGAGATCAAAATTGCGTTTTTTAAACAAGTTTTTGAGAAAAAATAAGTGTTTTTGGGGAGTAGTAGAAACTGTTTTCCAGAAGCTCAAAACAATAGTTTTTCCCAAAAAGCAATTTTTAGAAAGAAAAAAAAATACACTGAGAAGATTTTCAAAAAGATTGGCCAAACACAGCTATTGCTCGGAATCTTTAAAAATGTCGAGGGGTTTCTGGTCTGATCCTCCAAAAGTATTTTAGTTTTGGAAGATTCAACACAGGTGCCAAAGCATCTTCGGAGAGTTTGAACAGAAAAGAGAAAAACTGCATAATGGAGAAAATAAATTATCCAAACAGAATGACAGAAAGCAATGTGTAATAAGACACCAAGAAACATACTAAAAACTAAACAGCAATCATATTATATATGTGCTGTATCTTTGGGAGATACAAGTTTGAAAAAGGGAACTGCAAAATGTGACAAACTCTATAAGTTATATGGAGGCAAAAAAAAAATTCCTAAAAGTCACAACTCACAAACAACACTCCTTGGTGAGGGATGCTTTTGCTGTCACTCTATATTTAGCCTCTCTAACTTTTAACATAATAGTAGTAGTAATAATAATAACAAATATAATAAGAAATAATAGCAGAATAATATGATATGTAGCATCCTCATATCTAGACTGAGATACAGTAAGAATGAGATTTGACACAATAACAAGTAGCATCCTCTCTACTTCTTGTTTTGCTCCTTAGTGTCTGAAGTAATAGTATTCTTGTTGGTTGCTGCACCATCTTGTGCTACTGCACGATCACTATTAGTATTGTTTGGTGTCATCAGCTTGTCGAACTTCTCGCTCTTCGTCAACACTATCTCAATCTGCAAATTCACAAAATTTATCGTTAGTGCACTAAGCTACCGTTAGGAAAGGGGAGAACCACGTATTGTTCAAAGATGTTGTCGCTTCTATGTCCAATTCTCCAAACATTATGCATTTTGGAGGATCAAACACAGGTGCAATGACATTTTTAGAGGAAGGCTCAGACACATTGCATCTAGCATAGCCAAGGACGGAGCCATGTAGGGCTGAGGGGGTTCGTCCTAACCCCCTTAGAAGGAAATTTACATTGTGTATACACGATCAAAATTAATTTGTATGTATATGTTGAACCCCCTTTGGTTCATTTGTGTGTTTACTTCATATTTTGAATGTCTCTGCCACTAAGCATAGCCTATGTTGCTCAAATCCTTCAAAGATGTTGTCGATTTTGTGTCAAATTCTCCAAATATTATGCTAGAATCTGATACATGTGCAACAACATTTGAATCCTTTAAAAATGATGTCGCTTCCATGTCAAATTCTCCAAATATTATGCATTTTTGGAGGATCTGATACATGTGCAACAACATTTTTGGAAGAAGGGTCGGCCACATTGCACCTAGCATAGCCGATGTTGTTTGAATCCTTAGAAAATGATGTCACTTCTGTGTCAAATTCCCCAAATGTTATGCATTTTTGGAGGATCTGATACATGTGCAACAACATTTTTGGAAGAAGAGTCGGCATCATTGCATCTAGCATAGCCTATGTTGCTTTAATCCTTCAAAAATGATGCCATTTTTGTGTTGAACTCTCCAAACATTATGCATTTTGGTGGATCAAACACAGGTGCAATGACATTTTTGGAGGATGAATCGGCTAGATGCAGGCTACATTGCATCTAGCATAGCCTCTGTTGCTTTAATCCTTCAAAAATGATGTCGCTTCCATGCCAAATTCTCCAAATATATATATATATATATATTTTATTTATTTATTTATTTTTTGGAGGATATGATACAGGTACAATGACATTTGCATCTAGCATAGCCTATGCTGCTTGAATCCTTCAAAAATTATGTCGTTTCCGTATATTATGCATTTTGGAGGATCAAGCACAGGTACAACAACATTTTTGGAGGATTGAAGCGACATTAATCATAGAAAGAATAAATTTCTTACTCTTGCTTTCTGAACCATGCGGCCTTTGGCCTCATCTTTCATTCCAACTGTGGATGTTAAAACCTCTGCATCAAATGACAACTATATCAGGGAATGCAATTTTTTTAAAAATAAAATTACTCTTCATTTTTGTTTTCATTTTCAAAAGCTAAATAAACAGGTAGTCGAACGTGATTTAGTTTCTCTTATCATCACTATTATTATTAATAACTCTCATGCTATCACATTCTTCGATTTTACTATTATCTGTTGTTTTCTTTATTTCCATCATCATACTATTTGTAGTTGCTACTGTTATCTTCTATATGCTTTATTTGTGCCACCGAAGGTCTATCAGAAACAAAGACATGAATAAGATACCTATAGGGATCACAGTTACTTACTCTTCTCCGTCGCAAATCCACCATTCTTCAAAATCTCAGCAACTGTGACAACCGTAGTGATCGCTGTTGATAATTTAATATAAATACATTAGCAAGAAGATTTTTTTATTTTTTTTTAACATTTGATTATGAATTATGATTGATATATATATATCAATTTCGAAACAAAGATTGAAGATTGTTACCCATGCCCAAAGCAGATAGTTCAACCTCAGTATGCTGCTGCATGTACCTCTGCTTGGTAAAATAAAATTTGTTAATATAATCTCTTAGCATCATATCACTATACAACAACAACAATGTACGCAGAGCTTACTCCTACATTGACAGGTATAGTGGTTGTTTCCGATAGACTTTTTGCTTAAGGAAAATAAAAAGTATCTATCACCAAATTTATAACCTATTTATGCTACCGGATTCACATTTTATTTATTAGATTTCTCCAATAACACAAAACTATTGAATTCTGTCAAGCCTGTACCATGTAGGATGCAATGTTATTATTAAACAAAGCAAATGTTTGAACCGGTCAAAATTCAAATACTGAATCCGCCTCTGAGCGTGCATATATATATATACCTTAGCAAGATTGACATAGAAGAAAAGTGGTTTCTTAGTGTTAGACACTTGAATTCTGTTACTTTTCTTCTGAGCCTCATTGTTATTGTTGTTTGTTGGTGCTGGTGCTGCTGGTGTAGATGCAGGTGTTGCTGTGGCTGGTGTTGGTGCAGCTACAGGTGTCATTGTTTCAATTGGCATATTATTTGTCTTAATAAGTGACACACCCTTTCTTCAATTTTTTTCAATTAAATTTGGGTTTAACTTTTTTATATTTATATTAATCTATATTGGAAAAGTATTAGAAGAGAGAGTTAAATATAAATAAAGTATAGAAAGGCCCGATTCAATAGGATTGAATTGATGATTTGACCAAGTAAACATCCATTGGTAGTTAATTAAGACAAAAAACAAGTAATAATGATTGGTGATTAAAGCAATTAAACAATGGTTATGCATCTTACTAGACCTACTACTACTCCATTCATTTCTTTGGTTTTCCCTCTAATTAGGAACACTAATTATTTATCATCCTAAATTATCTTAGATTCTCCTCTTTTTATTTTTGTTAGACAAAAAAGAAAAAAGAGATGCATTTTGGAGAATATATATAAACAGAGGAAGACTGTCCATTGATTAATTACAAATAACTAACAACACGTGTGATATATATTGCTATGTTTAATTAATATCACACTCCCATATTTCACGCGATGAATTGCTATTTCAAAACACTTTCAATATAAAATGAGTTCCTTTCGGATAATTTTTACATGGACAATTTTAGTCATTTAATATTTTATTTTGCATGAATACTTAGTGTTGAATAAACTTTAAGCAAGAACTCAATTACTCATCTTGGATCAAATTGGATTAATAGCTTTGTATTGATCTACGTACGAGCCTTCTATTTGATTTATACTAGTGTTTTAAAAGGTGGGGCGTAAGGCGAGACATTTTATGCAGTATGGGGTGAGACGTAAGCTCTATGGATCTACGGGGCGTAGTGTATATTCAATTTTATAATTTTATTACTAAGCAAATAGGCAAAAGTAAAACTTTCAATTATTTTACAAATAAATTTTAATAACTAACCTATCTATATAGATAAAAATAGTATGATTTTTATTTGAGAAAGGTATTAATAATCAAAAATGAAGAAAAAAGTATTTCAATTACTATTTGAGAAATATCATTACACCAATAAAAAAAATATGATTTAAAGCAAAAAAATGTGTCCAGGACGTACGTTTTCACGCTTGAAGCTTACACCTCGAATTCTATGACTCGCCCTATGGATCTACGTTTTCAATTTGCGTCCCGGAGCATTTTTGGTACGCCTCACTCAAAACTCACCCCAAAAAACGTTTTGAAAACACTGATTTATACTAAACTTCTTCAAGTTTTTATCATTCTCATCTAAAAGTGTATGCTTTTTTTTAGATTTGTCTGCTTCTGCATTCAAACACGTATGTTTGAATTTTTAGTCAATTTTTTAAAATGCGTTCAATCATGTATATGATTGAGCGCAAACATATATAAAAAATCAAGATGATGCTAAATGAGTTTGTTTATATTTGCTATTGATGTGAAAAATTAATGTTTGAGGTTTGTTCCTTATGATACGTGAAACTTATATTTCAAACTTGAACTTGTTTGGAGCATATTTGGGTATTGTAATTTGAAGGATACAATTATTATATTTTGGAAAATTAAAAATTTCATACGCACATGATTGAATTTTGATCAATTTTAACATCACAATCATACATGAGATCTCTTTTAGACACACACGACTGAAATTCTAATCAATATTAACATGTGCTTTAGCAATGTAAAACTGAAAGTCTGAAACCAATGAATACATGAAAAGAATAAAAGGGGTGTTAGGTTTGTTAAATTTATTGTTGTTTTGACAAATTAATAATTGAAGTTTGTTCTTTATAATATATGAAACTTTTTTTTTTTAATTTGAGCTTATTTTGAGTAGCTTTGATTATTGAATTGTTGAAATTTGAAGAACAAAATAAATTA